GTTTCCGCGGCAGCTTGCTGCCCATTTCTGCTCGCCTGGTAGAAAATGTTGAGTTGGTCGCTGAAATGGACTTTTGCCGGCCTGCCGGAAATCTGTGGACAAAACTTCCGTGCACGAAATTGTAGCCTATGCCTAGGGGCAGGAAGCAAAATATTCAAAAAAATGTTTCCGTGGCAGCTTGCTGCCCATTTCTGCTCGCCTGGTATAAATTGTCGAGTTGGCCACTGAAATTGATTTTTGCCGGCCTGCCGGAAATCTGTGGACAAAACTTCCGTGCACGAAAATGTAGCCTATGCCTAGGGGCAGGAACCGAAAAATTCAAAAAAATGTTTCCGCGGCAGCTTGCTTTCCGGCAGGCCGGCAAAAATCCATTTCAGCGACCAACTCGACATTTTCTACCAGGCGAGCAGAGATGGGCAGCAAGCTGCCGCGGAAACATTTTTTTTTCATTTTTCGCTTCCTGCCCCTAGGCATAGGCTACATTTTCGTGGACGGAAGTTTTGTCCAAAGATTTCCGGCAGGCCGGCAAAAATCCATTTCAGTGGCCAACTCGACATTTTCTACCAGGCGAGCAGAAATGGGCAGCAAGCTGCCGCGGAAACTTTTTTTTTCATTTTTCGTAAAAAGTAAAGTAAAAAAGTTTTTTTTTTCTGAAAAAATATATTTTACCATCAATTGATTGCTTTAAAAATGAAATGTTATTATATTTACCGCTAAATTGAGAAATAATTAAAAAAATGCTACTTAGTTTCAACCGAAATCTCAAAAGAGGATTCACGTATGTATATCCATAAATTTTTTATTTGTATGAAATTTTCAATTTATTTGTGACTTGTAGAAATTTTTTTATTTATTTAAATGTCTCAATTTGATTACCATATTTGATTAAAATTAAAATTTTCTTTATTTCCTAATTTTGCATGCTGAAAATATTTAAATTTATTTATATGTATGTATACTTACGCTGAGAATACTAAATCCTTGCACTTTTGAGTGCTGACATCACTTACATACACACATACAAGGCCATGGGAATCGGAGTTGCCTATCTTCAAAATCATCAAAATTTATGAGACAATAGGGGGATTCTCGAATTCATGCAAAGCCTTTGCATTGTTCGTGGATTGCAAAGCTTTCCCATAGGATAAGCGGTTTTTACTGAGCAATCCGTGCACTGTGCAAAGGCTTTGCAAAACTTCGCGAATACCCCTATTTTTGCAAAATTTTTTTGTCTGGTTATGACCAACACCTTTCTATTAAGCAAACATTAGATAGGCAATATTATATTTTTTCAGGAATACAGATAAAGCTCTTTGGCTTTCACTGACTCATACATGCATATATTGATTTTGAAATAAAAAACTACTTGTAAAATAGAAGAAATCTAATAAAAAAAACTACATACTTTCCTAGAAAAAAAAATATTTGTATGTAAATGATTAAAAAAAAAATTGTGCGAAAAATTTATTTATTTAAGCAGAGCTAAATTATTTCATAAAACAATAATTATAATCATATAAATTCTTGATAAACTAATTTTGGCAAGATATATATAACTTAAAAATAATATTTTTTTTAACAAACTTATTAGCATCACACATGCACAAATGAATTTGTGAACGAAGAATACGTATATGTAATCAATAATTTTTGCCTTGTCAATTAATTAAAATTAAAGAAGCAAAAAAAATTTATAGACTAATAAATTAAAAATTAACAAGCTTTTTTTCATAAAGATATTGGGATGCTTTTAAAACAAAAATTTCTTTACAGCAGCAACAATTTTTCTCAGGAAGCGCTGACTATGAAATGTTAATACATTTTTGCCAAAAATGCAGGATTTTCAAAAATTTTTTTCTGCTGAAGTATAACTTTGATGTGATATAATTTATAGTATACATACATTCTTTTTTCTAATGATAACTTAACGTTAGAAATATTAGTACCTAATTTAAACAATTTAGAATTTTCAATATTTTTTTTTCTATTTTTTACTTAAAGTTTTAATCACATATAAAAAAATTTAATTAGTTTTTCTAAGGTCCGTTTTCTGAAGTAGGTTGTAAAATTTATCTGCCCCTTAAACAGAACTTTTGTTTGTGTTTGAAGTGCAGATAAATTTTAAAACCTACTTGAGAAAACGGCACTAAAGAACTAAATTGTTTTCAATACTTTTTTTAAACATTTTTACTTGGGTTTGCCAGAAAAAATAATATGACTAACAAAAGAAAGTTTTTATGAAAACAATTACATTCAATCGAAAAATTAGACATTTTCGAAAAATTCTAAATTGGTCAAACACTATATTTTCATAACTGGAACATGCTAATTTTTTGGTGTGAACAATTTTTTTTTGTGCAGAAAAAACCTACTTAGGGGATTCGCTCCATCCGAAAAGCTAAAAAAGTTTAAATTGAATTTCATAAGAATAAAATCCGCCAACTCATAGTACATATATAAAAGAATACTTTGTATATTTTTTATACATAAAGGAATTGAAAATAAAAACCTTAAAAAAAGTTTCAAGGCAATAAATATTGAACCTAAAATTTTTTTACATTTACCATTTTAAATTTTTTTTACGAGCATATAGAAAGTACATACATACGTATAATGATTAAGTTTCCTATACTTTTAATTAAAAAATTAAATACAGGAATGTTCCATCTTATTGGTATCACTAACCACACACTAAAACCGATTCTTTTTTAGTGTTGATGAACGCTGAATTTTACTTTTCCTTTTTCTAAGAAAATATGAAATAAAAAAAGCAAATAATATTTTAATATAGAATCTTTTAATGAAATTAAGATTTCATAAAATGCAAAAAAGTCCAAAAGCCAAAGGATTCAACCTAAAATGAACTTCTCTGCATATATTAAGTTGAAAGTCGGTTAAAGGATTATTTGAGATATGGCACTCAAAAACGTGTTTGTTTAGATAAAAGATTTAAGTATTTAAATTAGAGGACCAAGGCTTGAAGTAGTCGGTTCATGGATCGAGCGGACGTCAGCCCATTGGGCATCTCTGTTGAACAGACTTTAGAATTAAGCATAGGGTTCTTACCCCCAAAGTTCGCAGGTTGCGCTAATTCCTCGGAGGCAGCCTGATTAAGCGAGGGTTGCACTGCTAACTACTTTCTGGAAAATTTTTAAATTTATTAAAGTTTTATACTTCTTTCAAGAAGTAAAAAGCGTTTGACTTGAAATTCAGCGCTCACCACTTTTCACAAATTCACTACAATAAAAAATGAAAATATATATTTTTTCTGGTCACACATGTCTTGCGTTGCTTGGCTTGCAAGCTTGTTAACTTACTTACAAATTCCTAGTCTTCTTTTACAAAATTTGATATTTCATTTTAAATGCAGCGTTACTGACTTAATGCTTATGATCTGTTTTTCTACACTTGACTATGTCTTGCATACTTAAAAATTATTTTTTTTTATATTTCTTTTATTACATTTTATATTTTATTATAGCAACTACAACTTGACTAAACACTCTGTTTTTTTCTTAATATTTTATTACTATGCTAAACTATTACACTAAACTCTTATTTTATTTAAGTTTAAATTTATTACATACAAACTTTATAAATACATATTTTTACTCATCATCAGCTGATATTTTTTGATTTATATTACAATATAGACTACACATATTTTTTATAGCCTACTTCATCTTTATTTTAGACTTAAGCCTACTGTACAACAGTCGTTCATTTTTGCAGTATGTGTTTATATGTGTAACGCAAGCATGTACGAGTACATATGCACATTAGGGCGGGTCACTTTTTATTTTATTTTTAACTATGCGAGTATCGCATTGAAGTATTCTACCTGTAATTCTAAGCCAATTAGTTGCAGAAACCATGGGTCTAAAATCAATTAAGAGTTTTCCGAAGTACGAAAATAAGTTTCCAAGTAAATGTGAAAATGTTCACTGTTGCGCCCACCAGTGGAAGTTTTAAGAAAAAGATAAGTGCAGAAATGGATTCTTCATCGCAAAGACTCCCATAAAGCATATTTTTTGTAAAAAAATCGAAGCACTTCTTTGTGACACTACAGCAAAATTCTAAGGAAAATGAAGCTATTTTCGCAATTTGGCAAGCTCGAAATTGATTTTGGAGCCATGGTTGCTTCGGCAAATTTGCTTGGAAATACATGTAAAATACTTCTGTGCGACATCCGCATAGTCAAAAAAAAAATAATTCAATTTCCATACAAATTGACCCGCCCTAATGTATCTACATACACTACCGGCGCTACGTGGGACTTTTATGTGGAAATATTTTTCAGTTCGAACGGAAGCTTAAAGATTATCTGCGTGTGTGTGTTTGAGTGTTGTTGTAAGTACTTTCGCAATATCCTTTTACCTGGAGATGCCAGCTTTAACACGGGCCAGACATGTTACAAGTGCACACACATACAAATGTCTGCATAAATTCGCTTTTTCCACCACAAATTGTTAAGCGTAAGCTTAAATTTCTCTTCATGTTAGTGGTTTTGTGTGTATGTATGTATTTATGTGTGTACATACGCTTGGCCATAACTGTGGCTGCAATTTCGCATTTAAAGTCATGGATAATTGTGACCATATTGTGCTTGAGTTGTTATCCGCTGTTAGCCGCTGGATGCGCCATGCTATCACTCGCGCCAGTCGTTGCACTTCAGTTGCGCGCTATTTCGTGGTTGTTGTTGTTGTTGTAGTTGGTACTGACCTCGTCGGCTACTTCCGTATCTCATTTGTTGCAGCACTTTATGTTGTATATATCCGTGTTGTTTATTGTAGTGGTTGTTGTTGTCTTAATTTTTGTTTTGTTGTTACAGTAATTTTTGTTGTTACAGTTGTGTATGTCCTGTGCGTAATTTATGCTATTTTCGTCGCTTGTGCGTCGGCAATAAAACCGTGCCATCGGCATAAAAGTAACCTCACAATTTCGATGGATCGTAATTTTCGAGCTTCCATTGCTGTCGCAGTTGATTCGAACCGCACTCTTCCATGAGCACTTTGTCTTTCTTCTCCGAAATGGCTAGACACTTGTCGGACGGACCGTGTCGTATTTGATGATTTTGCTGATTGTATTTCCAGAACTGCAAAAAATGTGGAGAGAGAGAGAGAGAGTGTGTGAGATGAGAAATATTGGCAATAAGTAATACTAAGTAGGCTGTAATTATTCTCATAATTGTCGTTATCGAGCCTGCTTTGTATATACGCATGTATACAAGAGTGGTTCAAGTTTTGTATCAGAAGAAAAAAAATGTCATCGTAGAAAACTTTTTTCCTGGTAAGTTCTAGCACTTCAATTGTGCAAAACAGGGTGCTCAAGAACCTTGAAATGCGCTACTGAATCCCTTTGAAGCTTAAAAAAAAATTGGTGATTTTTTATATAAAGCGACTGTTGCCTGACAACCGAGCTTGAGTATTTTTCAGCTAATTAAATTTGAAGTGTTCTTAGGTTGCTTAACCAACTGTTTGGTTAATATATGTACCAAATACTTCTAGAGCAAAACGTAAACATTTCATGAGCATCCTCTAAATTTTACTTAGAAACTTAGAAGTTTGGTGGCAGCAATTTTTTTTAAAGAGGAAAAATTTTGGTAAGTTGCTCGAAATTTTTTCGGATTTTGTTTTTTACCACCTTAATGTACATGCTGATCGATATAATTCACGATATATCAAATTGATGTATTTGTATTCCTGTATTTATCGAGTTTTTCATCGATATTTTAACGATACATGAGTTTCTATCGGAATATTTTAATCTAGATATAATCTATTGGGAATATTTATTTGTTTTTTATACACATATTGTTGCCGATGTATTTGAGTAATTCGTTACATTACATACATACTATCGATATTATTGTTGATATATAGCATTTTATTAACTAAACCTACAAAAGGGTGTGCCTGCCTCTGACAGCTTATTATGTCTCAGGGTTAAGTTTGCTTGGCCCACCGATAAGATCTCAAATAAATCAACCTTAGGCTTCGCTGCCTGTACCGAAATGTCAATTAAAATGACTGAGAGGCGTCGAATACTCGTTTTTTATCCTTCCTCGAGTAAAATTTCTCTGGTTTGCATTAAAAAAGAATGTGGAAAAATCTGTGAATTTACGCTAGAGTGCCTATAATATTGAAATATCCTGTTGCATATATGTGGTGTTAAACCTAAATTCCGCTTTCGTTTGAGGAACTGGCAATGTTATCAGCTGTTTCTTTTTGAACCAATCGAGGGCTAGGCAAATGGATTTTCGTAATCTTAAACTGGGAGGTAGATGAAATCCTTATTGGTATTCGATGAATTTGATTTATTGGATTCTGCCAGCAAGTAGTTTGGCGAAGAAATATGCTAGGCCCTACACTTTTTCAAAAGAATCGTTCTGCTCTACAGCCAAAGGCAAGGTGGATTTTTGATCAAGTAACTTCCGTCTTGGCAGAGGCATAGTGCTCCATTGTTCGTGCCCGCTGTGAGTGAGTGCTAATAAGAGGCACATTTTCTTAATATTTTTACAAAGAGAAAATAAAGGCATCAATGAAAATTGACTTGGTCCAACAGTGTCACCTCCACTATTTATGCCGGATTGGCGAAGAAGCCGGCATATCGACACTGAAAGTGGTGAATTGATTCTTAGTTCGCTGTGATAATGTCGACTAGAAGTCTTGCCGCAGATCTGTTAAGTTTTAGACGGTCTGCCGTATTTTGCCTATTTAATCGTGGAAAAATAATTTTTTAACGTCTATGGTGTATTCACTTATGTTTTCTAAAATACTTAAGTAATCTATAAACAGCTGCCTGCCTCATTTGTTGGCATCTCATGGGGATACCTGGCCAACTCATCCAATGCCTCTCTTCGATATTTCCAGTTCGGAAATCCAACAAAGAGTGGCTTTGAAATGGCTCAGTACTGCAAACGCCGCTGATATTCCAGTACAAATCCCCAATTTAATTACTTTGGATAGATAGTATTGCCAGCTGGGACCGTTATATTTAGTAGCATAAATCTCAGCTTAGAAGTCAATGTGGTCGTTTGTTATACGCAAATATTAACTAATTTATAGATAATCCTGGTAGAGATCAATGTAAACGGATATATATATGTATTATCATCTACCGTTGCACTATGGGTAATCAAATCAATTTTTGTGGCCAAAAGTCGTTTTTCATACTTAAAAAAATAAACTTTTAGTACTTGGTATTTGATAAAGAAAACTTCAAACCAAATAGCGGTGTCTTGTCAGGTGGTCAAAGTCATTATCTGTGAGTGAATTATTGGAATCGATTACTTATGTGTTTTTTAGCTATTTCCAAACTACAATATTTAAGTTAATTATCTAAAAAATTAACAAAAATGTAGAAAAATAATAAGTACTTTTAACTGGTAGTTTTTTGATATGTTTTATGTTTTTTTAGGGAAAAACTTTTAACCCTTTGTCTACCGGTCTGGTCCAATGGACCTGAATGAGATTTTATTGTGTTCCCATATCAACATCTGATGATTTTGAGTTCCGTTGCTAATTTACTTGCTTATTTCCATGTATTCTACAGTTTTTTTTATCATGCAAATTTATTTAAATAATTAGTATTTCTATTGTTAATCTAGCGGGTAGTCCGTTGGACCCATGTTTTTAATTACATAGGGACCCATTTGCCCGAACGGTAGGTAATGCTAGTTTATTCCGCGGTGGATAGAAGGGTTACAATTTTTTTGTTTTAAAAATTAAATTTGGAAAAGATTTTAAAATTTTAGACTTATAGCCACTGTATAAATAGTTCTGATAACTTTTCAATAAAACCATAAATAAATTAAAAAGTGACCCCTTCGGTCGTCAAGGGTTAAATGTTTTTTTTTTTTGCAAAAATGTGCCAATCAATTAAAATTTTTCTTTTTTCTTTTTAAATTTTTTAGTTATGTCATTATTAATTTTTGCCACAATAATGGGTCAAATTATCCATGGTGCAATGGTGGGTTTTCATTCCATTCTCCAATGGTGGGAACCCCTATAGGTATCGTCGTATTGAAGTCTCTAGCCGTCTTATTTTTTTATTTTACTACTTATATATAAACTCTCAAGTATTTATAAACAATTAAATGCGCCATTCTATTAGCCTATTTCCACCCAACGCTTAACTGTAGTTAAGAGCTCAGATAAGTTACAATAATTTTAACCATAGGTGATCGGCAAAGTTTTTTTCTTAATTTTTGTTTTCTCCACTCGTTTGCTGGCACTACTTCGAGTTGTAATCTGTTTTTTCCAATAGGCATAAACTGCCATTAAGGCTTTGTGCAAATGTTCTATAAACAATCTCTTTTCACTAACTTAGAAAATTTACTATTTAGCTTTAATAGTAATAAAGTTATAAACTAGTCTATCCTTCAGCCTATCAAACACAGTTCTTTAGTCACAAGTCAAGATTTGGGGGGGGGGGGGCTTATTGAAAATTCTAAGCATGCAGTTTTTCTTAACTGTACCAGATGTACATATAACATTTTTTTTCGTCACATACTTAGTGTAATTTCTCGTTTTAAATTTTGCTCACTAATTACAGCGTTCAATATTTTTCCAATTCGCGAGTCATATTCGAAACAAAAGGCAACTATTCAGCAATTTTTTGCTTTGACCATTCATTCATGCAGTCCTCCATTCACATACCACTTTGGCGGCCAGCAGCATAAACTTTTTGAGGCTTACCTGATTTCCTTTGGAACCGTGACATGGATACAGTATCACATCGTGGCCAGCATAATCAAGACAGGCTTCATCGCGTCGTATTTCACCCGCTTTGCTGAGCATCCAATACTGCAGAGACGCGTGCAAAACGCGTAAGTGAGTGTGTGTGCGTACATGTGTGTAGTTGGTTTGTCATGCGGCGACCGCGCGGCATATGTCGGTAGCAGAAGCATTCGTTAGATTTGATGGGTCGTATGGTTGGTTGTTTTGCAAGTTGGTTGGTGGGTTTTGGCGAGTTGGTTGGTGGTCGACATACGACATAGATGTACGAGGAGTAATGATGATTTCGTAGCAGCAACCATTCAACATTAATGTCAGTGACAGGAGCAGCAACGGAAGCAGCAACAGCAGAAGCATTCATTCAAAGCACATCCCAAGCGGCAAGTTGGTGGAAAATAAAATATTGGAAACATTTCGTTAGTGGAGTGGTAATAAAAAATGGCGCAAACGGAATGCGTGCGTAAAATAATAAAAAAATGTGCAATGAGTAAAAAAGTGTATAAATCGAAAGAGAAATGAAAAGCAAATGAAAGGAAAATTATTTATGAAAGAAAAAAGTATAAAAAAGTATAAAAAATGGCGAAATAAAAATGGCAAACGGCAAATGGAAAACCGGCAAGCGTATGAATGATATGCAAAAAAAAAAAAAAAAAAAAAAAAAAAAA